CAAGGAACACGCAGCAGTATTTTTTTTTTCCTACTGTTAATATTGGCAAACTCACAATAAAGAGAAGACAGCGCTGCAGAAAGCGCCGAAAAACAGATAGGCTAGTCTTTCGGGGCAGCGAAACAGATATGCTAGTCTTTTGGGGCAGCGAAACAGATAGGATAGTCTTTCGGGGCAGCGAAACAGATAGGATATTGTTGCACGGACGCGTCGGACTCTTAATTGTGATCAAAATTCAAAATTCTGGCCACGGTGTTTGATTTTTGTGATTACTCCGCATCAAACACCGTGGCCAAAATTTCAAATATTGACCACAGTGAAGCGGTTGTCGCTGGACAAAAGTAGCGATATTTGAGCGACTGTACGAAAAACCGCTTTGGATAAAACCTCTATCGACGGCTTCTCGACATAAAAACAACATCGAAACAATCGCGTTTGCCAAAAAAACATCGATTCAGGCCCTACTTAAGTATTGCTAACGACGGAGGTCGAAACGTTGTCGTCGAAAAAAAAAATCTTGGGGACTGGAACTGTTCTTTGTTCCGCCATCCTTTTTTAAATGGAAATGGGAATTTCTGACAGTGCTGGCGTGGGATCAGGCTGGAGCTACTTAATCATCCGGTCCACAAGATCAGCGACAGAACAGTAACAGAGGTACGTAAATACCGTATATCAAATTTGCACTAGGAGCGCACGATTCTGCAATGGCTTGTAACTGTACATTGGAGTGTTGTACGTGCGAGGGGTTGCTCACTTCGAAAAATCGGTGTACACTCTGGGAAAAGTCATCAAAAAGTCACAAAAAAGGAAAAAAATCAATAAAAGTCAAAAGATCGCGAAAATCAGTGAAAATAAACAGTAAGTCGCTAATATAGCTTTGAAGCAAAAGAGCGGGCTAAAAATACCCCATAAAAGTGTGTACGAAAATGTTAGTGTTGTTCTATCGATTTTATTGATTCGGACTTGAATTTGGACTTATTAAATTCGAAATCTTCAAGCCAATTCGATTTGATCCGATTCAAATGTAAACACCACGATTCACACAGCCCATCAGCGCACTTTTTTCTCACCATTGACCGACTTTCTAAGATGATATTTCTTATCTTTTTCTTTCACATTGCGAAGATATTCCACTTCCTTCGACGGATTCAAAACGATGACGTGAAGATTCATCTCAACGGCAACTTGGTCGTGAACAACAGCCTACCCGTGGCGGTTAAGTGCTTCCTTTGAATCACTGTAAAAATGTCTACACCAATTTTTTAAACTGTTTTTAACATGTTAATTGGAATAAGAGTGTTACACTGTTATATGTTGTGTTCCACCTTATCCTTAGTTTCCGAAATTTTCCCGGTTTTCTTTCTATCGGGGCAACTCCAGGAAGGGGAGTCCGAGCTGGGCGCGACCCGAAGCGGTTCGGCCGAAAGGCGCTCGGCTTCGCATACGGTTCGGCCGAAGGGCGCTCGGCTTCGCTTAGGAACAAAATTGTCACTGTGAGTGATGCAGATGTCGGATCGACACGCCACTTCATTTCAATACAACTTTGTTAAAGTGCCACCTCTTAATAGGTATATATAGTCTCCTGGTTTTCAGCCGTTAGTTTCCGCGGTGTCTTGCCGACGGCAAAAAAATATCGAATCAGGCAGTGGTGCTTGGCCCTGTAGGTTGCTCATATCTATCTATATATCTGACAGAGCGCTGTAACGAGCGAGCGTCGATGCTCGTTTTCAAAACGTGGTGTGAGGTGAGGTAGGTAGAGGTTCTGCAAAGTCTCTCGAGCTGGGGGTATCGACGGTCTACCGGCCGCACGAGGCGACGCCGAGCGCCAGCCGAGCTCTCGCGTCTCTCTCGCACTCGTCATTGCTAGATACGTCTGTCTCTTTCGCCCCAAACGAGCGTCGCCCGCTGGTGCCTGGTGAACTGAGCGCGATTCGGCTCACTAGGAAACGAGCAGAGCCACTCTGAGCCTATCCCGACAGGTGGCGCGGCGTCGCACGAGCCTCACGGCTCGCCTGTTGCAGGGCTCTGATATCTAACTATCGATTCTTCTGAATTTTAACAGTTTCGAACTGTACTTTGGTGCCGTACACCGTAGGATAGAGCATACAACTTTACAGTAGTACACCACCGTTAATCCAATTAATAAGTTTAAAACTGTTTTCAATGCTGTACATTTATTGTAGTGCATTTCTTGTTGTGGAGTATCACTTTGTTTTGTCTATGATGATAAAAATATGATTTTCCCCCTTTTAACAGATCATCAAGCTTATGGTCACTTGGATAGTCGTGTTGGCGCAGTTCGCACTCTCAAGAAAACAAATGAACATCGGTTGACTGCTCTTATAGTATCGTCAGCCAGGTTGGCTCGAGCCCCCACCTGCAGGTCATATATGGTCGTCTTCCGATCCTACGATTTGGTTTTAAGAGCACCCTGGAATAACTGTCTGAAGAAGAACGCGATCGAATCGAGCGAAAGTTTTCTTTGTCTCAACCAGAGAGAGGCATTGCCACTCCTGCCCAACCCCGCCCCGTCGTGCCTGGTAATTTTTATTTCTATGTATAAAATTAACCCCAAATATGTACGTGTGTGTGTGCGTGTGCGATATTAAAACAAATAACCAACGTCAAAGCTTTTATCTTTTCCCCAGTCAGTGCACTGGGGTTGGTTTAGAACCAGAGCCCTGCGCCAAGTGCACCACTACTCATTAATGTCCGCCGAACCCTCCTCAGCCTGACCTGGGTTCTGGTTGTGGTTCTAATACTTAAGCTCTAAGCTTACTCCTCTCCTGTCTTCACCCCTCCCTCTCTTTTCTTTTTCCTTTCTCTCTCCCTCCCTCTCTTAACTCCATTTCTCCTCCCTCTTTCTCTTACCTACCTCATCAGACCTCAAACCTACCAACTTTTGGGGAATTCCAGAAAAAAGCGGAAGTGGTGGTTGGTGCTAGAGACGTGTCGAAAATTGCCCCGTGTTGTCAACGGTCCATATTTTCGTAATCCGAAAAATCATTGGCAAAAATGTTTCTACCTGACTTCGGTGTCGAACTCTAATTGAGACCTTCCCCCTCGAGGACAATACTTAGCACAAGTCTTTTTATCCCGCCCTTCTGCTTTGAAAAAGCTATCCAGCGGGCTTATGCAAACGACCTCGTGTGTGTCTGTGTGTCTGTCTGTGTGTCTGTCTGTTCCACAAGAAGGAGATGTGCTAGAGACTTGAAATTTTCAGGGTATCGTTAGGTCCACTCCTAGAGAACGAAACGCCTAAGGCAAATCCTGGCAACCACCCCTAAGGGTGTGAATGGGGGTATCCAAGGTTCAAAAATTCTCC